CCCCAAAACCCCAAAACCCCAAAACCCCATGCCAAAGTGAAGGTGGGGGAATGAAGAGAGTATTAAAGGTTAGAGATGATTGATTTATATAAAGATTTAAACTATATATTTTTAGTATTAAATAGTTTTATGATTTTATCGATAAGTAAATATGAGCGGAAGAGTGAACATACCATCATACATCCAGGACCTGAGTTACAGGTAAGATAGATATGGTTTCTTAAAGATTTCATGCGTAGATACAAAATGCCCAAGATGGTCTTGAAGCAAGAAAGTAGACTTAATGGAGTGAAGACCAATATATTCAACTTAGATGAGGTAGCTAAGGCTCTCAGAGTTCCAGAAGAAGGTATAAATCTTTCACAATTATCTTATCAAACTTACTTATTATCTTTTAGCTATAATAAAGTTCTTCTGCGCTGAGTTAGGAGCTAGTAGTGAAAAGACCACTATTTTGAAAGGTCAACACAACTTTGAAACCCTCCAAAAATCTCTTGATAAGTAAGTTAACGCTCCCAGCCCAATTTATACTACTTTATCCCGCTTTTATGGCATTAAGTGCCATGACGGGATTCTTTCATAATCTAAAATAGCTTTTGCTTATCTAACTTTAAAATAGATTTATTGAGAAGTATCTATTATGTACTAAGTGCAAGTACCCTGAGACCTCCATGTACTTGGACAAAAAGTCCCTAAAGTCCAAGTGTAGAGCTTGCGGTACAATTAACAATCTCGACAGTAATCATCGTTCTGGCAAACAACTAATGAAGCAACTCCCTAAAAACATGAGTGAAATCGACTCAAGTAATACCGCTGCTCAAGCAAATGAAACTAAATCCAAGAAGAAGAAGGATGAGGATGATGAAGAAGAAAAAGATGAGGAATTAAAGAAATAAAAAGCTGAAAATGAGCTTCTTGAGGAAGGCATTAATCTCGAGTCTGAAGAAGTTGGTAAGTATTCCATCCAATTCTGAATGGAAATATTATTAAACATTGATTGGTTTTAACGATGAATGCCTTGTCACTACCACTGAAATCTAAATGATTATAATCTGGTTCTGCAATTCTGATCCATCAATCATTTCTTTGATTATCGCTTAAAGATTTTAATAACTTTTCTATAGCTGAGGCAATCTCAAAGATTTCAGATATTGTCAAGCAAGGAATCTCAAATGAATAACTTCAAGATGAAGCTTAAAAAACAGCTGTTTCATTCGGCCTAAGCAATGAATTCAGATACTACATCTTAATGTGCGGTATCTTTACACCTGATAGAAATATCGTCAAGAACTGGGCCCAATTTGAGCCAATTTTCCTCAATCTTATCTCTCAAGACGGAAAGATTGGAATCAAGCATCTTATGCAAGCAATTGTCTAGCTTTTTGTCAATAGATATCCAGATATGATGAAGTACTCTGCTACTTTTATGAAACTCATGTACGATCAAGAAGTATTCGAGGAAGAATTCATCATTAAGTGGCATGGCAAAAAACTTAAGCTGGACAAAACTTGTGCTCTCTACGACAGAAAGGCTGAAAGAGCCTTCAGAAAAGGAATCAACAGCTTTGTTGACTGGTTAATGTAAGTAAATCAAACAATATTTCGATAAATAGCACTCATGCCGACTATGGGCCACAAAGATAAGTGTATTCCCGTACATCTTATCTCCCAATGGCTCCTAGTAACTCAAAAGTGCGATATAAAAGTGTACAAGTCATTTGAAGAGTGGGTATTTGTCTCTTATGAGAAAGCTTGACTTTCGAGATTCAATATATTGCTCGCTCTTATCTGATACAAAACTATTACCTATTCTTGGGTTATTTATTTGAAATTTTACCAGATTATTAACTGATTTTTAGTAAAGCTTAAGAGGAAGAAGAAGAGGAAGATGGAGAAGAAGAAGACGAGGAAGAAGAAGAAGTCAAAACTAATGGTCAAGCCAAGGCCAAGGTTGAAGAGGAAAGTGAAGCTGTCAGAAAGCAAAAAGAGTTAATTCAAAAGCAAATGCAAGACCAGCAAAAGATGATTGAAGCCAAGAAAGAAGAAGCCTTGAATAGAGCTCTCACTGAAACTTAAGAAAAGGTCAATGTCCTCGATATTAACGTTGAAGACGACTTCGAGATTGACGATATTTGAGGGACCATTTAAATATCAGATTGCTAGAATAGCACAGCTTAAACATGCAAAAATTTTGTTCTAAATTCATTAAAAATTTCTCTAAATTCTATATTAATTTTCCTCTGGGGTTTTGGGGTTTTGGGGTTTTGGGGTTTTGGGGAGATCGGAAGAGCAC